TTTTACCCATATTATCATTGTTTCTTTTACTTGTTCATCTTCTATTTTCAAATTTAATAGAAAATTATACATTTTCTTAATTAGTTTTTCATCAGAGGTTAATAGTATCTGATCAAACAAAGTCTGCTTTTTATAGAATCCATACAATTTAACACCTTTATCATATCTCACTTGTATCTGTAAATATGATCTTCTTCTTGTGCCATATCCGTTATCAGACGTTGCGATCCTGTTTTTATCAGCAGCCGCAGGAAAAAGTGCTGCTGAGTTTTGTCCAAATCAGTCCCTTAGATTTTGAAGCCACGATGTTCTTCTTCTGCCTGGACCTCATTTGCCTTCAATCTTTCCCTGGAGGACTAAATGGAGTATGCCGTATTTTTCTGGGGTAAATATGACCACTAATGAAAAATCAGTATCCTGATTTTCCATCTCTTGTCTAGATTTTAATTTCCCTTCAGAGTGTAGAATATCTTTATATGTCCATATTTTCTCAAAGCTAACTAGATTTGGGTGTACAAATGCTTCCATTGTTGACAGCCATCCTGGGATTTTCAAATATATTTTGCTTTTTATTTTCCCATGTTAGCAATAATGCATTTCTAATATAATGATTTTGAAAATGTTTATGAATTTTATTTTCCCCATACCATAAAAAAGCATGCCAACCAAGTTGTAAGTCATGTCCCTCTAAGTACAACAACCTTTTATGTCTGAGGGTTATCCATTCTTTTACCCATGTTAACACCGATGCTTGATAATATAAAACCCAGTCTGGTAAACCAAAACCTCCATTTCCCCTTAGTTTCTTGTAACATTTTCAATTTAATTCTAGCTTTCTTTCCTTGCCAGATAAAATTTAAAATTAAGGAGTTCAGGTCTTCAAAAAAAAATTTTCTCTATAGTTTTATAAGTAAAAGGAGTATTTTTGGTAATACATTCATTTTCACCATAGCAATTCTCCCTAACTCTACAATTGCAGATTTTTCAATTTTTCCAAATCAGGTTTTATTTGGTTTAGTGATATTATATAGATTAAGGAAGTTAATCACTCATTGGTTCCTTGACATGTGTTTCTTTTGATTTCTTCACCTGCCCTACTTTACCCTGCTTCATACATTGCATATTTATGCTAATAAGCTTTCTTATCAAAAGGGTTGTGTGTTTTATTATTATAATAAGCTAGAAGTTACCAAAGTTTATGTCTACGTTCCTTAGCTAGCATCCTTCTCACCAAGTCCTGCTAACTTTGTTGTAATATTTCTCTTGCTGGGCAGTCCTGCCCACCATTTGTTACTGGTCTTATTACACCAATCTGCAACTTTCTGCCTTGGCAATTTCTTTAACAAACTTCCTAATTCCAGCGTGAGACCTTCACCCCTTGTGCCTCCAATTTTTTGAAGACAGATTTACCATAGTCCTTGACTCACAACCATTCATTTAGTGACAGCATTGAAAAAAGTCACTTATGACAATTTTTCACACTTATGACCATAGTAGTGTCCCTGTGATCAAAATTTGGATGCTTGGCAACTGGCATGGATTTATGATGGTTGCAGGGTCCTGGGATCAGGTGATCCTCTTTTGCGACCTTCTGACAAGCAAAGTCAATGGGGAAGCCAGATTCGCTGTACAACCGTGTTACTAAGTTAACATCTGCAGTGATTCACTTAACAGCTGTGGCAATAAAGGTTGTAAAACGGGACAAAACTTCACTTAATTGTCTTGCTTATCGACGGAAATTGCCTGTAGGGAGAAATAGACACCCTTTGCCAGCTCACTTTCCACATTTGCTATAGAGCAAGATCATCATAGAGTCCTCCGAAGTCTTGAGTGCAGACCCTGAAAAACACTCCTGGGGGGTCAGGCCAAAGCCATCTGAGCCCAAACTTTTGTTTCTCAGTGATGCTTCTCAGGTGACTGAAAGCAGGAGACTCAGGCAGCTCACTTTCCTGCCATTACAGGTAGTCCTCGACTTAGAGCCATTCGTTTAGTGTTGGAAGTTACAATGGCAATGGAAAAAGTGACTTGCGACCATTTTTTACATTTACAACTGTCTCTGTGGTCACATGATCAAAATGTGGACGCTTGGCAACTGCCATGTATTTATAATGGCTGTATATATCTTCTAACTGGGTCTTCCCTCAGATGTAATTCTTTACGGAAAAGAAACTCAAATCTTGTATTTTCTCTTCAGATCAAGGTTGGGGATTGCCTGAAGGCTCAGAAGG